CAAGAAGGGCAGTGCCAGTCTGGTAGGTGACCCTGGGGACGCAGGGAAAGGACTGAGGGCGGACCCCAGGCCTCAGGAAGCAGGACATGACTGGGCCTTGAACCCAGGTGCTGGGAGAGGCTCGTTCTGGCCTGCCAGCCCTGCCGCCTCTCCTGGGGACTGAACACACGTTTGGTAAAACACTGAGAGCTAGCCCCCTCGCACCCCCCAGCTGGGAAGTCTTCGCCTGGGCCTGAGTCCTCCGCACCAGTGCTGCTGCCCTGGCCTGGGCCGGGGGTGAGCAGGGCCTGCCCTGGCGTTCTCCCCCGGTGCTCCAGCTCCCACCCTTCCTAGTTCAGGCCCCAGGAAGAAGTTAAAAATAGTTAGTTCCTACATAAAAAAGAGACATAAACAGACTCCCTGGCAAAGGGCCGGTGTGGGGAGAGGCAGCTTTGTCTCTGCCAGGGGAAAAAGGGAGGGGTGGGCACTGGGAGGGGGACTGCAAAATAGTTTTTCTTTTAAAAAGTGCTTGGTAAGTTGGTTTTAAAGTGTGTGTCTATATCATGTACAGATATACACACTGACACTGTTCACACGCTTGCCGCCCACACGCGCGCGCACACACACGTACAGAATGTATACATATACAGAATCATATACATATACATACATACATACATATATATATATCTATCTATATATACTTTAAAAAGTCCTAGGTGAGCAGCAGGCCAGGCGGCCAGGCTCAGGGTCACGACGGGAGGGTGTGGGCCCGGCCTGGCTGGCACACGGGGCATTCGCCGCCCTCGGCACACAGCTCGCAGAGCACGGCGTGTTGGCACGGCAGTACCGCCCGGGTCTGCTCCTGACACTTAAGGCATTTCACCGACTGCATGTGGAACACGGCCTGCAGGAAGACATCATGGGCTCACTGGCATGCTTTCTGTTGCTAGCCCAGCCCCATGCTGGGCCAGGGGTCCCTGGACTCACTTCAGCCCCTTAGGGTGAGAAAACCGAGACCCCTGACGTTCAGCAGAGCCCCAGCTGACAAGAGAGGCAGGAGTGTGGATGGGGCAGCCCCGAGTTGCCTGCGCACAGGAGCCAAGTGGCTTGTGTGGTGTTCACATCTGTGAGGCTTCTGCCTCTGTTGTCTCATGTGCCTCGCAGGGGCCACTGGTCCCCCCCAGTGAGAAAGGGGAGAGGGCTGTGTGTGCCCGAGGACACATGGCCATGACCAGGGACTTGATCAAGGTCCACTGAAGAAAAGAGTGTTCTTTCCATGACACCAAGCCACCCCAGGACCCAGCCAGGACTGTTCTGGAATGCGTGCTTCTATAGAGAGAGTATCCAGGAGCCCAAGGGAGCGCAAAGGAGGGGCCAGGACTACCTGCAGCTCCAGTCAGCACATGCTCAGAAGCAGCAGGGTGGGCACTGACAGCCCCCTCCCTTCCCAAGGAGTTAGCTGCCATCCAGCCCTCCAGCAGGCCAGCATGCTGAGTGCCGCAGGCTCTCAGGAAGAGGGAGGCCACTGATGGAGTAGGCTTACAGTGCTCAAGAGGCCAGGTGCTGGTGTGCCCATGCCTGCCTGGGGCTCCCAGAACCCCGACTGACCTTGTCCACTTGCTCCAGGTGGGCCCGCAGCTGCTTCTGGAGGGAGTAGAGCGTGGAGAGCGAGAGGGCCTCCAGGTCGGAGAAAGCAGGCAGGGCCAGGGGCTCGGGCCCCGAGTGCAGCCGTTCCAGTTCCTCCTGCAGCTTCTTCACCTGCAGCTCCAGCGCGTCCCGCTGCTCCCGGGCCAGCTCACACTCGGCACCTGCCGCGCTGGCCCGCTCGCTGGCCTCCTCCGCCTCCTTCTTCCAGGCATCACAAGCCTGCGGGTCCAACACGCAGCACCTCGTCACAAGGGCGCCCCTTGCCCCTGTCCCCCTGCCCCCCTAGAGAGCATCTCCAGGAGAAACGTGTGGTCTCTTGGGTGAGGGCTGCGAGGGGCTGGGCTGCTGTCTGGGGAGGGCCCAGGGAGGAGGCGGATGCTGCCTGCAGAGAAGAGAGGTTTCAGGGCCTCTGCAGAACCCAGCAGAGCAGGAGAGCTTAGGCAGAGGCAGGCTCCCGGCCAGCACTTGGGGGTGGCTGGGCCAAGGCAGGACACAGGGCCCGTCCCAGAACCCTGGACAGGCAGAGCTCCTGGGGAAAGGAAGGGGTCCTGTGGGAACGGGCTGCACAGCACCTCACAGAGGGAGTTGGAGGCCTGGGCCAACTACCCAGGGCCCAGCCTGGCAGGGAAAGTCCTTCCACTGGGGAGAGCTCTGTCCTCACAGGCCCATGCCCGCCCTCTACCCCTCTCGGCTGGACCACCCCAAGGACTGGTGAGGTGGGACCAGTACCTGCTTGGCCTGCTTCCAGGAGTCCTCCCACTGCTTAATGGTACCGTTGGCTTCCTCGAGCTCCTGCCGAAGCCGAGCCAGCTCCGCGGCCCCCGGCCCTGACAGGAAGGCAGGGGATGTGCCTGGGGAGAAGCTTCCAGAGGCAAAGTGCTCCCAGATGCTGCTGTTCATCCCATTCAAACCTGCCCCAGGAGGAGGGGGTGTCAGGACTGGAGGGGCCTGGGCCCTGGCCCTCCTTGTCCTCAGTGCTGCTCTCACATTCTCTCACGGAATCCTCACAGCCCTACGAGGTGGGGGCTGCTATTACATTCGGTTTAGGGCAGAGGAAAGGAAGGCAGAGTGAGGAGTAACTTGTCTAGGGCTGCGGAACTAGAGAGGAATGGTGCAGGGATGTGGCCCAAAGCCTCGAGCGTGACGTCCACCACGCACTAGCAGGCAAAGGTGCTCTCTGAGCCAGGGTGCCCAGCCCAGTCTCCTCAGTGAACGCGGCCCCCACTTACCCAGAGATCCATGTGATGCCGAGGTCCCCAAAAACGTGTTTTCTGACTGGCTCAGGTGGCCCTGGGGCTGCTGCAGGAAGTGTGAGGAGAGGCTGACGGGAGGGGACGGGGATGCTGAGTGAAAGGAGGCCGAGCTGCCCAGGGAGCCTGGGATGCTCACGGGTGCAGAGCTCTGCAGCAAACTGCCACCTGCAGAGAAGTGGGAGTGAGGGAGAGGCCTCTCGGGACCAACCATGGCCAGCCGCCAGGAGCCCTCCCGTGCCACCTTGCCACTGCCCAGTACCGAGCGTGATGCTGCCCGGGGCGGGCACCGTGCTGTTATCAAAGGTCTTCTCCAGAGCAGCCACTCCAAACTCGTTCAGGTCCAGGTCATCCAGGGCAGACTCTAGGGACGGAGTGAGCAGGGTCTGCGTGGGCTCCGTATGTTCCAAGCACCAAGACCCACTGACCTCCACTGCCTGCTTCCTGGGGCCCTCAGCACCTCCACATTCGAGCCACACTAATCCACATTCCCTCGGGTCTCTTGGCCTTTGCTCCGTCAACACTCACGCTAACATCATCCAGGAACCAAGTCCCACTGCAGGGACCTTGCCTCTAGAGGCAGCTGATGTTACTGTTAATGTGTTTCAGCTGTGGGCACTGAGAGTAGGGGGGCCTCTGGGGCCTAGGTGGCTAGCTGGTGAAAGGTGCTCTACCAAGGCCCCTCCTCTCACATGAACTGGACAGGGAGGGCAATAATCGGGTCCTTCTCTGGGGAGAGAGTCTGTCTTCATCTTTGTCTCCTGAGCACCTGGCATAAAGTGGGCATAGGATTACTGAAAGAGACAGACCAGGAACTTTGAGGACAGGTGTGCAGGTTGTTCACTGCATGAGGCTGTCTAGTGAGAGAGTGCGGGGAAGCCAGAGCGCATGTGCCTAAGGTGAGGCTGGCCTTGCCCAGGGAAGAGGCGCTGCTCTGTGATTTACCCGAAAGCTCTCTAAGCCTTGGCCCGCTGTCCCTTTCGTTCAAAGAGCCCAGAGGCCCCACCCTCCGTCTCTCTCTCCTGGGCACTGGCTAAGGTGACTGGTGTGCTGGTTTGAGCCTCACTCTGGAGACCTGAAAGCCTTGAACTCCAGCCATGGCCTAATTACCTATGACCGACTCTACCGTGTCGCTGGTAGGGTAGAAGGGCAGTGCGTTTGCATTCATGCCAGGTACGCTGCTGGTGCCCGCAGGACTAGGGGGAGTAGCTGCCAAGCTGGAGGTGATGCTAGAAGAGATGCTTGAGGTCAGGGGGCTGCCCACAGGGAGGAGGCCCAGCACGTCCTGCAAGGAGAGAGTGAGGAGGCAATGGAAGGGCCAGGAGATGGTGGCGGGGTGGGGCCGAGAACCGGCCGCCCCAGCTCTTTCTGTCCCCACCCTAGACGGCCTTGCCCAACACCTGGTGGAGAGGTGACGGTACAGCGTCTGCACACGAAGACGCATGATGCACCTGGAAGCAGAGGGCTCAGGGCCTGATACCCCCACTGCCCCATTCATCAGCCCATCTAAGGGGGGCCCCCACACCCTGGAGCCTGCTGGGGTTCTGGCTGGACCTGAAGCTCCACCGGGGAGGAGGGCTGAGTGCTGTACCTGTTTGGGCTGTAGCAAAGGCTGCTCTTGACTTCTGGGCTCTAGTGAGTGGGGTTTTAATTTGGCCTGGAGAGAAAAGTCAGGGGACAGGAGGAGAATGTGGTTGGGGGACCCAGTCAGGAGTTCCCTTGGGCCCAACATGGCTCATAAAGACAGTAGGACACCAGACCTGTCGGCGTGCGTGCACGTACACTCACATCCCTGCCCTCCACCCCCAAGTCCTCTCCTCTCTGAAGACCTTCAAGCTCAAACAAACCCAGATTTCTCACCAGACCCACCTGGGACCCCTCCCATCAGCTGCTGAAGGCCTGTCACATTCCACACATCAGCACAGGAGGAAGAGGACTGCTGTGGGCTTAGAAGGCCTGGAGGTCCTCTACTCACTAACTCAGGAAGTCTACCCAGGTGAGCTCTTCCTGCTATCTGCGTCACCTGACTCAGCCTGGTCAGGGTGCGGAGAGGGCTCCTAACCCCCACTCCCCCCATGCTGGACTGGTCACCCTCCGGGGCTCTCCTGCACCCAAGGCAAGGCTGCCCACACTGCTGCTCCATGTCCTCACCTGGCATTTAAAGTTTTTCAGGTATTCAGCTCCCATCTGGTCCTCTCTCTCGAAGCCTGGAGCCTTCTTGTAGCTACCAGGGGCGAGGCCAGACTCCCCAGGGAAGACAATGCCCTCTAGGTTGGGGGGCTTCCTAATGGAGCCTGGGGGGGAGCCACAAAGGTTGGATGGACTGCCCAGGCTGCTGTTTCTACAGAGAAGCTGTGGAGAGGAGGAGAGTGGGCCGGTGGGCACAGCACAGGCCGAGCCAGGGGCCACCCCATCCTCTCCTCAGAGGGGCACATTCAGTGAGGGGCTCCCTCCAATTCTGCCATTGGGCAGTGGTGACTCCGAGGAAGCCCCGTTGCTTGTGAGGTGGGGTATGTGGCAAGGTGGCTTTGTCCTTTAACCAGGTCCAACCAGGCTGACCACTGGCAGATAGGAGACCCCTTTCAGGCTTCCAACAGAAAGCTTAATTAGCCCTCCATGTTCGGTCAGCTATCAAGCCCTCTCCCTACACGCAGGCTGAGAAGGCTTGGCACAGGCCTGGGCACACCCGCCACCCTGGACCTAGTGGGACAAGGCCCCAGGGCCCTGGGTCAGGCACATACGGTGCTGAGGTCAGGGGCGTGCGGGCTGGAGGGGCTCACAGGCACCGAGTCTCCGGCCGCGGACGGCATGTACAGGACGGGGCCCGACTGGGTAGGGCTGGACACAGCTGAGGAAGGCTGCAGGTCATCACTCAGGGGAGGCTCTGCAAGAGATAGGACAGGGGGTTGGCAGGCTCCCGGGGCTGTTCTGTCCCTCCATAAACTCAACAGGCCGCTGCCAAGGAGACCAGCATTCCCTGTGCACAAAGGGGAGCTTCCAAGTTCTTCCGCAGACAGCAGGTGCTGTGCTGACAATCTGTCCCCACACAAGGCATCTGCTCCACTTGGAAGATGAGGGAACTGAGGCTTGGAGAGCTAAGGGGGTTTCTCAGATGACACAGCCATGGAGCAGGAGAACTCGCCGGACCTGAGCCATGGCTCACTGCTCTGTGCTGCCTCAACCAGGGGGTTCCAGTGCCCATAACTGGGGGGCCAAAAACAGGCTTTCCCCCTTCCTCCACAGAGCTCTCAATTATGTCTGGCTCTAAGCCACATCAGTTCTGGGGGTGCCACACTCTGCTGGGCACTATGTCCACCTGCCCAAGACAATAAGCCCTGCAGCCTGTCTCAAGATTGTGCGGGCCCAAGGCTTTGTTGCCAATCCCGAAGAGGTGTGGGGAGCAGGATTTCCAGAGGGGTGACAGGACAATGCCAGCTAACGAGCAACCCTCTGTGTAAATGCAGCCAGTGGGTCTCCCCTGGTGAAGCATGGGCAGAGGGGAGGGCAGAGCTGTGGGCACAACATACGTTCTACGTGGGCAAAGGCGCAGAAGGGTCCGCGGGGACAGCTACCCGCCTGCTGCATGTCGTTGCACTTGGTGGATTTGTAGATCTGAGGAGACAGCAGGGAGAAACCAGCAGGTGGGTCAGGCTGAATGGGCGGAGTCCAGTCATCTTGTCCCCCATCTTCTCCCATCCCCCTCCTTCCCTAACCTCTCTCTACCACCTTCCCTCAAAGTCCAGAACTGGGAAATCACCTGCTGCCACCCCTGCTGGTTCCTGGGGTCGCTGGCCACCAGCCTTGGCCCGGCCTGCACGTGAGCAGCTCATGGCTGGAGCGAGCTGGGTTCACAGGCCCTGCTCTCTCTCCCTCCCAACACGATCCCCCAGGCACCCTGGGGTGGGATATCCGCTGAGTCTGACCTCCCACACTGAGGAGTGCTGCTCACACAGGGCACCCCGTCTGAGTGTCTACCTCAGGGCCTCCTGGCTTCTGTGGGACCAGGGCCAGTCTGTGCCCCTCTGTATAGTGCATGAGACAAGGGCACTGTTGGCCAGTGTGGGCTGGTGGGTCGGGGAGGCTCCTGGTTCCCTGGGCTCTGATCTGGGAAGGGCAGCTAAAAAAATATCCTGATGTCACTGGACTAGAACCCTAAGTGGCACAGAGCACAGAGCGTGCGGGTCACTGTGCAGGGCACAGCCTCCCACCAGGCCTGCAGACACAGAACCAGGGGCAAAGGGGCAGCTGCCGCATGCAGGCCTGGAACAGGGGGAGTTGCCAAATGAAGGTGCCAGCCCTTGCTGCCCACCACCTGTGCCCTGTTGCTCCAGCACCTTCTTCCAGGGCGGCCTCTGCCAGCATCTAGCTGGACCCTCCTCTCCTTTCTCCTGCTTCCCAGAGAGATGTCTGAATGCCTCTCTCCCCCAAAGGCCCACCTCCGGGTGGAACTGCTGCTCCGTGCGCGTGTGGCAATACTGACAGGCATCTCCATTCTCACACTTGCCAGGGTCTCCCCACTCGTCCCCGTGTTTCACATTCGGGCACGGAGACGACCTGGTTCAACGACAAAGTGGGGTCAAATGGCTGCAAGAAAGGTGAGAGGGGTTCTGGGGGTGCCACCTATTTCGTGAACTCTTGGATGGAGGAACCAGGTGTGGCCCGAGGCCCTGCTGTGGCTGGGGCGGCTCTGCCTCTCTGGCAGGCCTGGCTGTGCCATCAGGAACAAGCGTTTGTTCTCTCAGCAAGGCCCCGCCTGCCAAGCCCCAGTCACAGCCACACTCCACACAAAGCCTGGCCTTCCTGGCAGATGCCCCTCCAGGTCAGAACAGGAAGGACGGCAAAGACTGAGCAAGAGCCTTGCGAGCATGAGAGGGGGACCAGCACCTCGATGCTGGGCTGACCTTCACCTTCTGTCTCATGCCTGGGGGCCCTAAGAGACCCTGTCATTCCCGGAGCTGACTCCCCCAAACCCCCCTGGGGTCCCCTCTAAGCACCCGCCTGAGGCCCAAGAACCTGTATTTGTGCTTGCGGGGGCCCCGCCGCCGGTCCTTGCTGTTGTGGTAGTAGGGACAGGCGTAGCCCTGGCGGCACAGCCGCGGAGGCTTCTTGCACGGCTCCGTCTTATAGTTCCCCAGCACGTAAGCGGTCTCTGCATGAGGGACAGAGGCCAAGGTCAGGGGATGCGGCTGTGGGATTAGGAGTCAGGGAGGTCTCGGCTACTGGGCAGGGGTCCAGCAGCCGAGGCTTCTAGCAAGGTCAGTAGTTCATAGGCCCATGGGCAGTCTGTGGAGCCAAGTCAAAGGCTGAGATTCGCAAGTCAGGGAGAGAAGGTATTGCTCCGCAATGAGATTCCCGCAACTCACAGGGCCAAGAGGGGCCCACATGTGCTGTCTCCACCCCCATCCCAGGAAACCCGGAGGCACCCAGGGTGACAATGGCATGACAGCATGTCTGGGCAACGTCCTCGAGTCGTATGGTGTGCTATGAGGTAGCTGGGGGTCCCCTGGCAGAGACGGGGGGGCTGGCCCACTACATCTGCTTTCAACAGCTGCAGAAACACAGGCAAAGAAAAACTGTCCAGTCAGGGGGGGGGGTCCCTGGCACCTTGCCATCGAGGCTCCTCACTGAGGATCTTCTCTATCATGGCATGGCTTGCGGCCCCTGCCGACTGTCCCTCGATGCTGCCCTCCACGGTGGGCTGGCCGTTCTGCAAGGCCTCCATGGCCTGGAGCTCCCTGGAGGCAGAGGAGAGGACGGGACTCCGAGCTGGCACCAGCCCTCCGCAGGCCCTGAACCCACCCTGTGTCGGCAGCCGGGCCTGGCCTACCTGATGTCGTAGACGGGGGAGCGGAGGTCATGGGGCCCGTGGGCAAAGGCGCAGTGCAGGCCGTTTTTGGTGCAGTTGCCTTTGGAGTCTGTCTCGTGGATGCAGATCCCCGTTTTGTAGTAGCGGAGGTGGTACCTGCGCTCCGTGTCCCCTGTGGTCCTGTGCAGGAACGGGCACCTGGAACACGGCAGGAGGGTCACTCACCACGGCCCCGCCATGACCCAGCTGCTGGAGGGCTTTCACCAGAACCTGGATCAAAGAGATCCAGTGACAGAAGCCCTGCTGGGAGTGAGAACTGGCCTCCTACGTCAGCCTGCCCGACAGCCCACGTCCACTCAGAGGGCTGATGCCCTGGGAGAGACGCTAGAGGCTCATCCTGGAGACAGTGCTCCAGACCACGTCCTCTGAGAAGGAAGCTGCCTGCTCACAACACGGGTGCCCTGGGCCTGGAGGGGTCAGCTGACCTCTGACCTCTCTAAGAAAGACATGCTGGTGCCAAGTGGGAGGGGAAGCTGAGCCAGAACCAGTGGGAACTCCACCACGCCTGCCAGTCAGGGACAGGCCACCAGCAGGGCCAATACGGCCCTGGCTCTGCTACGAGCCTGGCTTGTGGACTCTGGCCACAAGCTGCCTTATGCCCTGTGCCTCTTGCAGGGATTGAACTCAGCTCATTGCAGTTGTGTCTGGCTCTCCAGCGGGTTCTCAGGGGCAGGCAATGGCATGGATGGGAAGCGACTGCTCATCTTTTTCCTGAGGCGTCTGATGGATCTGCCCACTGGAGAGGCACCAGCTTTGGGTCGGCAGTGCAATGTCCTATGGACTCCACCACCAGGGCTGGAGATAGGTGTGGGGAGTGGATATTAGGGCAGCAAGAAAGAGAACTCTGTCTAGACAGCAAGATGTGGTGGGACCTGTGTAGGGTGGTGGACCTGGAGGGGTGGGAAAGGGGAGTGTCTGGTCTGCCTGGTCAGGTTTAGAGGGATAGCTTTTAGGCTTAGCAAAGGTCAGACTGAAGTTTTCCAAAATCAGGGAAAGGGGAAAAGGGCCTGAGAGACCAGCAGCACCTGTGTAAGGAAGGGGCCGCTGCGAGGGTGCCTGGCTGCTGGGAGGGCAGCTCTACCCGGAAAGAGACGGGGGCTCGTGTGCGGGCGGCTGGGCACTCACTCGTCGCCCTCTGGGCAGAGGCCTGTCGCCTCGTCGTACTTGGTGCAGTAGACGTCGGGGCTGTAGTTGAAGGTGCCGTCCCGTCGGCGGATGGACCGGCGCCGCCGCTGGTTCACGAAGTGCCAGTGGAAGCAGGTGTAGGGCCGGTGCTGAGAGCATTTGTGCTGCACGAAGAGTGGGCACTGCTCCGTGCGGAACTCCTTCAGATACCTGCCGGGACCCGCACGCGCGGGCAGGGGCGGAGTGAGGCCCTTGTCTGCCAACCAGGGCCACCTGCTCTGGGGTGCCAGCCACATGGGGATGCCAGGCCTGGCTGAGGGTCACGGATCCACTCAGCATCAGGAGTCCTTCTCTGAGCTAGGCCCCGAGAGCAGGCCTGCAGAGCCCTCTTTCCTCCATCCCAGCCAGCTGCTCGCTGGGCTGTAGTCCTGACCACTGTGGGTTCTCCCAGCCCTCCCTGCAGCTTCCCAAGCCAAACCACTAATAACAGGCAAAGGGCCGCAAAACAGGGCAAGAGGCACTGCTTTCAAGTTTGCTGCATGCTCTTGGCCGCACAGAGCCACCTGCTCCATGAGGACAGCTGAGGCTCCAGGCCAAGGACCAGGGGGGCTTAGGCTCGTGGAAGACAGAGCTGAGGACAAGCTACTGCCTTGGTGCTGGAAGCCTGACTTTTTAGGCAGTCGGCTCAGAGAATGCCTATACTTTCTGCCTCTGCCTCCCCCAGTAGGTCCTGGACCATCTGGGTCAGGGTCTTGGCAAGGGATTCCTGTGAGAAGCACCCTAAAGTCCCTCCCTCTCAGCCCTGCGTGTCCCCTGTAGTGTCACCAATGAGCACCGCAGCTGCGGGGTTATTTATGCCCTGACTAACCTGGGGACTTGGGGGTGCGCCATCTGTCCTTTTGGCCTCCTGCCAAACTCATTTGTCTGTGTCCCTCTGCCCTGCATATATAGAACAGATGATGCACCCTCAAAGCTCCTCTCTCATGCCCTGCCCAGTGGAGGACCCCAGACCCCCTTCTCCCTGATAGAACAGCTCATCTGTTTCTGTCTGCTCCATGTGTTTAGGTAGGGGCTCTCTGAAAGGAGGATCATGGGATGGGAGGCGGGGGGAATGACACCAGCAGTCTGTTTATTCATTCTCGGGCCAACAACACAGGCTTGACAGAGGACATCCAAGGCCAGTGAAGGGGAAGACGGTTCAGAAGCTTATGTGTGGAACAGTGTGTAGAGGAAGCAGCGCTAACCGGAAGCCACCATCCAGCCTTAGAGGGCTGGGCCTGGGCCTGGAGGGCGTGGGACAAAGGCCACAGGATTGCCCAAGACAGCCTGGGCCAGACTGGCCTGCTGACAAGGGTGCAGGGCCAGGCAGGCTTTGTCTATGCCGGTGAGGTGTACCAAATGTTGGCGTGTGCACTGGGAGCTGATCTAGGAGTGAAGCTGTGCGGGGAGCAAAGTGAGGGCTCCAGAGAGAGGGTGTCCTTTGCCAGGCTGGTGTGAGGCTACAAGGGTGCAGATGAAGGAGCAGGTACCCATCCTTAAGAAGTACCCATTTTCATGGGAAAACATGTCAAATGTGGAGGGGAATGACAGCGTGAGTCGATCCAGTGGGAGGCATGGGGCAAGGGAGGAGAATGGGTAGGTCTCTCAGGGAGCTGCTAGTGGGCCATGAAGGGGACTGGGGCTCCTGACAGGAGGGCGAGTGTAGATGTGGCTGCCATCACCTGCGAGCCCGAGAGCCCCTCTACGCATGTGTGCGGTGGAGGCCAGTACGGTGCAGGGAAGCAGGTTTCCGACTACAGCTCCTGGCCAGGGGCATGTGGAAACAGCGGGCAGAAACCCAGGGGCTTCCCGAGGGCACTGGAACACAAAGCCTTTCTCAGTCTCTGCTCTGGCCGGTTAACTTTCAAGCTGCCCAAAGACATAAAGCATCTGCCCCCAGAATGTCTCAGCTGGACCCTCCTCCACATACTGACTCTTCAGACCCAGCAGAAACTAGCTCCAGGAACAGGAAGGGAAACGAAAGGTGTTCTGACATGAGGACGCTGAGCTCGGGGCCAGGAGCACAGAGACGAGTGTGACACCAGTTCAGTCAGAACTCCAGATAAAAGATGAAGGCGGTTTTGGTGGAAGCGCAGACTAAACACCACACGACTGCCCTGCACAACTGCTCCAGATGCCTGGTGTCAAGCGACACCCAGGGAGATGGGCAGAGGATGTGGTGGCCCCACGTTGGGCACAGTCTGCCCTCCTGGGTGAGAGGCCTCTGAGAGCAGTGGTCATGCTGCCTCAGGACACAGTGCCATGTGCAGACTGGGCTTTTCAAGGCCTCCACCTAGCAGGGGTACCACCCATTAGGGGAAGAACAGGGCAGCAAGCACCTTGTGTCTTTAATCGTTAAGTCCTTTCCTTCCATCCTCATTGCCCCTTGTCAGGGACTTGGTAACTTTTAAAAAAAATTTCATTATTTTTTATTAATTTTATTTATGTATATATTGTTAAAATCTTTTTCTGTGTGTGGGTGTACCATCAAATCAGATTTGACAGGAGGAGATTACTGCCCCTCCTTCCCCAGCAGAGGATCTGGTGGATTAGAACCATGTACCTCTGGGACTGCAGTGCAGCTTCTTGCCACTAGGCCACCAGAGCTCCCAGGGACTTGGTAACTTTTAACAAACTAGTCTCTCTTCAGCCTCTGCCCACCCTTTCCATACCATAAAGTGCTCATGATTCCACCTAGAACCCAAACTGAGTTCTCACTTTATTGCTTAAAAGCTTTCAGTTCAAAGGGAGCTCTGGTGGCCTAGTGACAAGATGTGATGCAATTCTGAAGGTGCATGTTTCGAATCCACCAGATGCTCTCCTGGAAGACAGGCAATCTCCTCCTGTGCCAGTTGGATCCAACCCGATGGTAGAAATAAGGGGAAAAAAACCCACCTTTTAGCTCGACCTCATCACACCCCCAACAGCACCCTCTCAACAGTGACCTCCACCCGGTTTCTGAGACTGTAAATCGTAATAAGGAAACTGCCCATCTTTGTCCCTCAGGGTAACTAGTGGATCTGAACCACTAGAGATGTGTGGCCCTTCGGTAAGCTGCCTAACACTCAACAGACTGCCATCAAACTTCCACCTCCAGCAGCTACAAAGCACCAACCACTTAATTCACCAGAGCCAACAGACATCCATGCCCACGACTGCCCACAACTGCGACTATGGGGTGGGACTGTTATTATCTGTCATTCTGGTCACCAAGAATCAAAACTGACTCCAGGGCACCGCCACCGCCTGGCTTTCCACGGTCCACACACGCAGCCCAGCCAGCCCAGCTCTCTGGCCTCACTTGTCTCGATGCCCCTCCATTCGGGCAGAGCTGCAGGCCACAGTGTCTTGGAAAATTCCCTGCTTTTGCTCATGAACCCATTTCCTTGCAGAACTCTTTCAAGGCTCATTTCTGAATGAATCTCTTGAGGTAGCCCTTCCGTGAAGCCTTCCTCGATGGCCACTTACCAGCCACATCACCCACACACCTCCCCCTGCCCCTGTTCCTGCCCAAGTTATCCTCTGAATTTTTAGACATTTTGTATGGCCTTTACTCTGAATTATGTGGTGACGACAGATTTCCCATTACTGAACTGTAAATCGTCTGCTGGCAAGGTTTTAAGAAACAAGTGTGCTGAACAAACACATCCAGGTACTAAAAAGGAAAGCTCACAATGCAAAGCCACCCACCCCACAGATGTGAGGGCCTAGAGTGTCTGTGGGGGGGTCCTAACTCAGCACGCAGGTCTGCCCCATCCTGTTCCAGAAACGCCCCTTCCCAAGAGGAGCGCCTCCCAAGGACCCTGATAAGCAAAGCAGGCCAGACACGGGGCCCACTGAGACAGAGAAGTCTAACCTTTCACTGCTGGCCACCTGGCCCTGCACCATCACCCCTAGAAACCACCTGGGTGCTACCAGGCAGGTAGCAGCCGAAGGGCACTGGAGACACCACTCTTCCTTAACCACAACTGAAAAAAACTGGAAGTTTTTCAGTGGGAATGCACAACTCTGATCCGTCGTTCCACTTCAAAGTTTGAAAGCATGAAGACCCAAGACCATCCACTCTTCAAACGAGTCAGCTCTCAGAATATGCAAGAAGTCTCTCTGGGTAGACTCGACCCACCTATCTTTCTGTTAACCATCCGCAGTGCCCAGGACTGCCAAACGCTGCTGTCAGGGGAGCAGGCCTGATAAGGAGAACTGGCCCAGAGGGTAAAGAGCTTCACTGCCCCTCCAAAGGCAGGCAGTCGGCCTGATGCTGAGGGAGAAAGATGAGCGATACCGTCCTGCGAGGTTGACTGTTGTACACCAAGTCAGAACTGACCCACAGCTGAGTCTCCAGCAGGTTTTCTGAGGCAGGTAATTGCACGGAGGTAATTGCCCATTTAACCACATGCCTTCTGGGTTGCAGTGCAGCTTCTTGCCACTAGGCCACCAGAGCTGAGGTTTATAGTCTCTGACCCAGCTGAGGGGTTGGTTCTGACTCCACGGTAGTGAGGTAGTGAATCTATCAGCCTCTCTGCAGGAGAAAACAGTCTCCTCTCTATAAACTCTGATAGCCTCAGAGACCCGATGAAGTAACGATGAGTTGTAATCAACTGACAGCAGTGTTGCTGGGGTATATATGTATTTGTGTGTGTGTGTGTGTGTATGTGTGAAAGATGTATTGTGATGGCAAAGTTGGCTGTTAGGGACCTCTCAAGTACTGAAGAGCGATGGTGTCTCACTGGAGACTAAGATGCATCTGATAGAGGCCATGGTCTTTGCAATCACTTGTTAAGCGTCAGAGAGTTGGACAATAACTATTGATGATAAAAGGAGAATTGATGCCTTTGAGATGTGGTGTTGGAGAAGAGTATTGAGGGTACCATGG